TTTCTAGTTAAATTCATCAGGATCATTACATATACCTTTTATAAATCATGAAGCCAGGAATGCCAGTTGCTGATGAAATGTTTCCAGAAGGAACAAGTGCAGCTATGGACATGGAAGATGAAGTAAGAATAATACTAATGTAGAGATATTGTCATATTGATTATTTAAAACTGTTTCAGGCAGGAAGCAATGTGATGTACGAACTTAACGAAAAACACATGCAAGATTTTTTTAACGGTAATCATATTTTAATATTTTGAGTTGCTTTTTAATTTTATCTCATAAGTATAATATAATGTAATGTAATTCTAACACAATATAAATGATAATTATACTCTGAAATATGAAACACCGTTTCCACGTAGGTATGTAAAGTATACAAATTTGTTTTTCATTGTATCATATCATAGATTAAAATATATATTTAATAGACCAAAGTAGTTGAGACAAAAAAAAAATTAGTAAAATAAAAGTTCAGTGTAAAAAATACATCAGTGCTGTGCTTAAGGGTCAACTATTAATTTTCCAATGAAAATGATGGGGATATGCATTAGTTGGCCTAATAGAAAAAAAAAACAAATCCTTCAAGAGAACATAATATGATCATTATCATGCAAAAACCGACAATGTGCAAGAAGTGAAATAACATTATAAAATGCAATATTTGAACTATATTATTGTACAGAAAAAATATTAGGAAAACTATAGAAATACCTGTAGTCGGTTTTTGCATGACGACAACGATATTTATTTATTTTTGATAAAAAAAAATGTAGTTAATAGAAATTTCGAGCAATAGAGATTCCGGCATTTCTCGACACATTTTTTTTATTATATAATATATATAACGATCTAATAATATGAATTATACTAGCATAAATATTAACATTAGCTTTTATTGCTGTATTAGTATTTTTGTTTGTTTGTTTGTTCCAGATTATGAAGATCTCAATAACGATGACGAGTTTTAATGCCGAAATACTTATATATCTCAAAAACATAATATCACAACGATAGAGTTCAATATGTATAAGATTTATGTAATATGTATAAGTACGTTTACTCACTACAGCCCAATAACTGTGTCTTTAGCTAAATCATAAGTTTTATTAAACTATTTTAGTCGTTTCTTCTCAAAATAATAAAGTATAATGTAGAGTAAAATTATTTGATATCGCTGTTTAACACAATTTGTAATGGTCTAAATTTAAAATGTCCACGTTCTTAAATGTCGACCTGGTTTTTAAATTAAATACTGTGTAATATAAAATACATATTATATCAGATGTAGTAATTATTTCAAAATTAGATAATGTAGGTATGTCACATTTTACTGTTTACTATTTTCTACACATTTGCTTATGAACTAGTTTAAATAATATTATCAACATAATGTTATGAATGCAATGGTTATAGTAATCAGCTATTACCATCAACAGCTATAGTTGTCACCGGTTTTTTATTTTAATATTGTTTGTTTAAAAAATTATTTTTTGTTTAGTTTTTAAGTATGATTTGTATATGAAAAATAGTATTTTTAGTTTTTGTATGTACTACTTTTTGTAAACCATTTTTTTAAAATAAACAGTTTTCGGTTAATTTTTTTCTTAACGAAAAAATGATCAGAAAATAAAATTCAGTACGATAGTTTAAATAACAAGCCCTTACCGATGTATAATTGGGAAATTATTATAAACTAATTCGGTAGAAATGTAATTAAGCCGTCTAGCAATACTAGTGTTTTATCTCAAACATAATATGTATACAGATTTAATTATTAGTATGATTATTTGTTTTAAAAAGTTAGATAATATTCAATTTGTTTAAACATTTTGACTAAAATTGTTACTGTTTAAAAGAGGCTTAAAGTCATGGTGAATTCTGTTGTAGCTGAGGGCTGTGCTTTTAGTGCAGAACTCACAATGATAGGTATATTTTTGTTATTAAGGTGAGAACGAACATAATGAAAATATTTTTTGCATATTTGTTGACTGTTGATTAATTCACAGATAGCAACTTGGAATTTTAATACGGCCAAAGTGTGATTTATTCCTTTAATTGCCTAACCTGGAAAGTTCATAAGGTTGAAGTTTGATTTTTTCTTTAAATAAAAAGCCACAACAATGATTTGATAAAATTGTATAATATGTTATTGGCCCACTCTAGATCTACAATCAGTTTAATTTTCAGGCCTTATACCCTAAAACTACATCTATAAAGCGAAATAAAGAAAAAGTTTCCACCCTTGAGGGTAATGGTTTGAATATTTGTATAAAGTAAGTTAATACTATGTCTAAAAACTAGTCTACACAAATTTGAAACTAATTTGACTATTTTACATAAAGTTATGGCGCGCTATGATTTTAAGTTGACAGATGTGTATGTTTATTGGATGGGTTTTCTCGATTTTGAAGGTGAAGGGGTAAACTTAAAACATTTTTTTTTTTTGTAAAATAAAATCTCTTACAGATACGATTTTTGATCTATAGAATGGCTTCACGAATAAATCTGTTGGTACAAACACAAAAACAGGAACACATCATTTTGAAAGACCTTCTCAGCTCCTCGTCGAATCTAAAAATTAAAAATATCAAGTTAGGATTTATTATGGTTTTATTAGGAAACTAAGAGAAACCAACGATAGGGAATATGATGATACAATAAACTTTATGAATGGCTTTTTAAATAATCTACTTAATAGTGGATATACTTACTTAGTGTAAACATATAGTATTAGTATAGGTAACTTTACCTACTTCTTCAATTTATTTATGTATAACAAATAAATGTTAAATTAAAATGTTTAATTGATTATGTATGAAATTTAATAAATTAATAGACAATAAAACTAGATTCATTTTTTTCAGTGAATAGGTATACTTTAAATTGGAACAGAATAAACCATACCGTTAATCATTTTTGAAAAATTCTAAAACATGTTAACATATTAACACTTACCGGGTATACCTTGGTTTTGTCGTTAGATTTTTATTAAACTATCCTTTCAAATCTTGTAAAAAAAATTGTTTTTTATAATTTTATAGTTTCAAACAAAATATCCAATAAAGAATTATTTTTTAAAGTTTTTTTTCTAATATTTACAAGGTGTGTATTTTACTTGAAATAAAATGGTAAGAACCGACGTAATAAAACTATAGGAAAAATAACTTTCTATAAAAAAAGAAATTCTCATTAGTCATATCTAATAATATATTATTCAAACTAATATAATATAATATATTAATAATTGTAAACGCGAGATTTCCAGCCATGTAGATAAGGCCCAGTTCATCTATACTGATAGCTACTTTAAACTTGTACAATTTAAATCAAATTTACAAGTACTTTTTATTGGTGATGGAAATTATTCGAATAACTATAAAAAATCCTAAAAAATAACATAATAATTTATTTTGTTGACGTTATTATTTTAACGGAAATATATGTAAATATTTATTTTAGATTTGCATATAATTTCAAGTGTTTTTCCGGCGCTATTTAGAATTTATTTTTTTGTCCTAATTTGTGCTATATTTTATTCTTCAACAACCAAAAAATGTTGACTTGTCATATTTTTTATTCTAAATGGCGACCAAACGTTGACACACCAAACAAATATTACAAAAATCTCTTCCCTAGAAAGGATGACAGCTTTTTATCTCTTGTTTTTAGCACTTAAGGTATAAAACTAAGGACTGAAAGTACAGATCTAGAATAGGGCTACAACATATTATACCTAACATGGTTTTCTTAAAAATCTGAATTCAAAAAAGACAGTATAACCTAACCCACCGCACAAACTTAAGTTATACTATTATACATTTATGGAGCTACATTGGTTTTGAATGATGTGTATTTATTGTTTATATATTTTTTACAATAATATATAAACCACTTACTGATTTTTTCATATAGCCGATCTATAAATTAGAAACTGTAGGTATGTTAATTGTTAAAATTACTTCTTAGAGCCAAAAGTTGAAACAGTTACTATTTGAAAAATTGGTACCTATCAAACAAAATAAAATTAGTGTTTAAAATATAAAATATTACACTGATTGATATACATTATAGTACTTATAGCTATTTTCTAATAATAATAATAATATAGCTTATTTAAAAATGTCATATTGGTTTGAAATTTAAAAAAATAGGTACCCAAATAAGGTCTCATAAAAATAAGTTTATTTATTATTTTTGATATAACTTAATACTTAAAAGAGAAGAATGCTAACATTGTTTATTGGAGAAAATAGGTATGTAATTTATATCTAAAACTATAGGTGAACGACTAGGGACAAATTTTGAATGCTGGCAAAATGTAAAGCAAATTTATAAGTATAAATATTTATACTTGTGATATAATTATGCCACATGTAGTTGGAAGTGTAGTGAATACTAAGGAGATACTTGTGATATAATAAGACCACTTTTATTTTTACCGCAACAATACTTTTTAATGGAAATAATACTAAAATATTATGTAGGTATGCTTGTTTGTAGTTTAAAAGAGTAAAAACTAATGTAAAAGAAGTTTCAACCTACATAGACTACAGAATGTTTTAAACAATACTTTTCAATCAGATTTAAAATTCTTTTTAGAATTAAATTTTGTTTTAACGTGAAAAATATTTTATACTTAATCAATCGTCAATTAAGTAATATAAATTATAATATTGTTATACCTAATAGGCGAAATCAAATACTATCACAGAATAACCAGAAGGGAAACCTAGACCGGGACTGATACGGGCCCGACATTTTGTTTTTGCGGATTAGGTACAATAATTATTATGTTTAGAATAATTATCTCAAGTTAATATATTTTGAAATAAATTATTGTCTTTAGTGACTCTCAGTCGCAAAAACAAAAATTTGGCAGTTGGCTTTTTTCGGCGGCCCCTAAGAACCCATGTAAGTTTCCCTTCTGGTTATTCCGTGATAATATACCCAACGTTATTGATAACAATTTATGACCATTTAAAAACAGTAATTTTCCAAACAGCTCGGTTCAATACATAAAAAGTAACGGATTTCTTTTTAAAAAAGAACTTTTCCAAGGCTAATAATTTATTCTAGAATACATACACGGACGGTATGTTTTTAAAAAATAAGTCTTAAAACTATTGTTATCATTTCCAACGTTGCTTTAAAATAAAATAAGTGATTGTAAGTGAAAGTCATAAATAATAATGATCTAATAACCTTGAGTGAAAGTACACTTTATCAACAGCCAACTAGGTATTAATATATATTATAATATTGCTGCAACACTTAAGTATTTCACTGTTGACGAAATCTTATGACATGTCAATATGTTGTAAAACCAACGTACCTCCAGGCTCATGACTAACAATAATTAACGTCATCCGAGCAACTGCGTGTGTTTCGCTCAGTTACAGGTAAGATTAATGATTTTCGCTGTCTACTTGTATAATATCCAATAGTGTATAATAACATATATTGTTGACGTTTAAGTATTGGAATACGTTGTTCGATCCCGCTTGAAAATGGACTGCGAAATTGAAAAGTACATTTTCGACCCGAATTCGTTGTCCACCGACAAAGGGGATGTCGGCCACGGCATGTTTACTTATTTGAACAACGATCAAGACCGATTCCTGTTGAGACCGCTGTGCTTGGACGATTACGAACGCGGTGCGTATCGAAATGAAATGCCACACAAACAAATAACATAACATTTCAATATAAGTAATTTTTCTTTTGTTCAATAAAGGTTATATCGGCCTGTTGTCTCAACTCACTTCGACGGGAGACGTTACCAAAGAAATGTTCACAGGTGAGTGTCTACCGCACATCGATAAATTACTTTAAATTAAAAATTTGCACCACCTATTACTTTGCATTTAATATTCTAGATACATTTAACGTTATGAAAAACAACAACGGAGGTACACACTATATTATAGTCGTACACGACACACAAAAAAACCGCATTGTAGCGACCGGCTCGTTGATAATAGAAAAAAAATTCATACATTCCTGTGGCAAAGTTAGATAATATACATCAATAGTTCTCGTTAACTCGCTTAGTAAAACGTGCCCAGTAGATTTAATAGGTTTTTTTAAAAATATATTTTATGTTTTAGCGCGCTAGAGTCGAAGACATCGTGGTGGACTCTGATTACCGAGGTAAAGGATTCGGAAAGATGTGAGTTATTTGAATACAATAATGATAGTTCTTTTTTTTTTTTTTTTGAAAATTCCGTACTAATAAATTACAATTTTTTTTTCTTTTAGTATCGTACAAAGGCTGATAGCACTTGCCAAAATCCTGAAATGTTACAAAATATCCTTGGAGTGTTTAAACGCTAAAGTCAACTGGTACGGCTCAATGGGTTTCGTCCAAGAACCGGGAAACTCGAATTTCATGCAAATACGATTTCAACAAGACTGAATCAAGTTGAAGATTTAAAAATTCATTTGTAATAATAATGTATAAGACCAATACAACAATATCGTATAGTTGTGTTGATTACTTCTTGCGATTTTCTAAAAGTCCGACTTCATATATATCAATAAACTTTATTTTTTTTTACCACGTTAAATTTTATTATTGAAATTACCAATTATAATTTACTATAATTATTATCACTTAAAATCCTATAACGGAACAAATTCAATTACGGTTAGCAGTTTTTATTTTTAATCAACGATACACCGGATGGATTTATCGTTACACATAATAAAGTTTAGCGAGTTTAATTGTTCAAACAAAGTATTCTATTTAAGTTCTACATAATTTTTTGTTTGTAGGTTATTTTTTATTTTTATTCTTATTTATACAATTTCAGTATGCCGAACCGTGGATTTTACAATCACACTCTCTGTTAGAAATGTAGACAATATTTACTAATAATTATTATTAAATGAATTCCATATCCTTTTTGATTTTCAATTGAATTTGAGCTTTTTACATAATATGTGATAAAAGGGAAAATAGGCGTTTTCAACTAGAAATTGTGTTTTTGTAACCGAAATCATTTGTCGTACGCATGTTTGATACGAAACTGGTCAACTTGTTGAAAAATACTGCACAGATAGTTAATTAAATACGTATAATCTAAAAATTTAATGTAAAGCAAATATTTGTCGAGGTTTGTTCACATAATATATTTTTTAAACAAAAAACTACAAACGCAAGCAATGACAAAGGAAATAAAAGCTTAAAAAAAACCCTTTCTTTGAAAAACAATTTTAAGTTTTTATTAAATAAGATACGACGTCACCGTTTTTTTTTTTATAATCTTTTTTGTCCGTAATTGTATATTTATTTTTAAACTTTTTAGAAGAAATTTAATTTAAATTCTTTTAAAGAAAAATATATCAGATGATTAGTGAAACTGACATCTCTCATTATTTTATAACAACTGTGGATCTGTTATCAAACAGCTCTCGTTAACTTATCCGACAACAAACTGGGTAGGTCGATAAAATTAATAATTTTTTTATTTATATATAACAAGTTTACTTTATTAGCGTATTATCACTCTTTTCATCAAAAACAGGATTGCAATACCTTTGTTGCTTATACTAATTGATCGACTGATTTTGTAATTAAAAATCCTCGTCAAAGAGTAAAAACGATTTTACAAAAGGTACTAAGTAGATAAAAAAAAAAAAAAAATTGTACAGCAACTAATCTTCTGATTTGTGGTTTTATTTTCTCGTTATTATTAATATAGTATGTTAACATAAGTTATTCGTATTCAATTTCAAGGTGAGGTCTAGTTTTGCATTTCTCAATTGATTTCTTTGTTGCATTTTTAGGTTGCATATCCTGTAATCAATCATAATAATAATAATTCATCATTATATAAATTCGACAAAATATGAACAACTTTATAGACGTTTACCTCGATGTCTTCAATTTCACCTTCGCCGTCCGACATGACAAAATCTTCTTCAACGTCATTTTCGTCAAAGGATATATCATCGTCTTCCTCGTCGGCAACATACTCGGTGTCCTAAAACAAAATTTAAAGAATTAAAAAAAATGTATTATAATAGTTTTTTCAATATAATATTACTTCTTCGTTGTCTTCTTCATCTTCTTCGCCTTCATTTTCTAAGGCTTTTTCAAATGCACTCTGGTTAATATTATACAAGTCACCGTACTGTAAACAGATAAAACAATTTTAATTGAAATTTATGAAATCATAACCGATGCGTCTCTTCGTGTAGAAGATTGATGGCTACGTTCTATCTACTCTGTCTTTAATTAATACAATAAGTAATTATTATTGTTACCATTGGTTACAGACTCCGCTATCCTATGTCGTCACCGATTAATTTGCCTGCGGTCAACGGAAAACTTACACCGTAGAAGTTCATTTTTTGTTATTTATAAAATATTTGTTAGTGCCTATCTAATCTCTATACTCAACCCTAATTTAAATTGACAGTTTTTTTTTTCATTATACAGTGTCTTAAGCGACTTCTCTTAACGCTTTAGTTTTGTAAACTTGCACATACATACGATACCGATGTACGAATAATTAAAACATTAATTATTTCACATTTTTTTTCTTAAAGCTGTACATTTATGATCACTACATAGAATGAAAGTTACAACTATAGTTTTTATATATATTTTTTTAATAATATATTATTTCACGTTTTTAAAATTGGCATTATTTGAATATTTTAATTATTTCATTTAGCAGGATGATTTACCAATAAATATATATGATCACTATCAAGTACCCATCTGTTTGGGGTTTTCAAAATTATTTTTTGACCTAATTTGTAGTTTTAATGTTTTAACTTTGCAAAATTCAGACATTGTAGGTAAACTATGTGGAAATCAATAATTCACGCTAAAAAAAAAAAGCTAATAATTGTCTGAACATTAATTTTCACTTACTATTTAATGCATGAAATATTTTTTATAATCCGTAATAGTATTATTTATAGTCTATACGAAAAATAAATGTGAATTGTGAACCATAGAAACATAACAAATTGTTGTTCTCATTTCTGTGCTATCAATCGTCGATTGGCCGTTCAGTAAGAAATAAACTTGATCTTTAATGGAATTAGTAAATTGAAATGTGTCTGTAGATCATTATTACAATATTTCACCGTCGTCGTTATTTCAGTATTTTCGTCCACGGTTATTACTAAAAGTCGTCCGTAAGTATTAAATTTTAAAATATTAACCCAAAAGATTTCAAATCTAAAAATTGGGAAGAGCTTATTATACACAATGATGTTGCCCACCTCAAAAACAACAATTCCCCATGCATTCATTTAAAAATGTGTTTCAGTGTTCAATAATATATTGTAGCTGTTATAATGTTGAGGCTTGCAAAGTCATTCTCGAAAAGACTATTCAACGCCAGAGCTTTAAGCGCGTTAGAAGCCAAGCCGTTGAAAAAAAACACCAGCTTGCGAGTTGGACAAGAAGTAGAAGGTTTTGTCGTCAAAGAAGTAAAACCGATCGGCGACTTTCGGCTAACAGCTTTACGTCTGGAGCATGTCAATACAGGAGCAGACTACTTACACATTGACCGAAACGATACGAACAACGTTTTTAGTGTGGCATTTCGTACCACGCCGAAACAATCGAATGGCCTGCCACACATACTCGAACACACCACGTTGTGCGGAAGCCGACATTTTCCATGTCGAGATCCGTTTTTTAAAATGCTCAATCGGTCCATGGCCAATTTCATGAACGCAATGACCGCGCCCGACTACACGTTTTATCCGTTTTCCACTGAAAATCATTCGGATTACTACAATCTCGTGTCCGTGTATTTGGACGCAGTGTTGAATCCCATGCTGAGAGAATCGGATTTTCGCCAAGAAGGATGGCGCCTAGAGCACGCGCTGGTCGACGATAAAAATTCGCCGATAGAAATAAAAGGCGTCGTGTACAACGAAATGAAAGGCGTCTATTCGGACAACCAACAAATATACAACGAGACGTTCCTGAATCAAATATTGCCCAGCAACACGTATGGTGTGAATTCCGGTGGAGACCCGAATGTGATACCGTCTTTGTCTCACTGCGACCTTGTAGATTTCCACGATAGATATTACCATCCGAGCAACGCGCGTTTTTACTCGTACGGCAGCTTTTGTTTGGAAAATCATTTGCAGTTTTTAAACGAAAGATACCTGCTTGAATACGCTTCGGATAAAACCGTCAAAGACGAGACTGCAGTGCCGAACGAAGACCGATGGACCACGTCCAGACGTTATCATGTTTCGTGCAGGCAAGATCCTATGATGCCTAAAGACAAACAGTCATCGTTGAGCATTGGAACTTTGTGGAGTGATATTACCGACGTACAAGAAACGTTCGAGTTAGCCATACTCTCGAGGCTACTGTTGAATGGGCCAAACGCTAAGTTTTACAAATCTCTAATAGAGCCAAACATTGGAACGGATTTTAGCTCTACCACGGGATTTACAGACCAAACCAAAGACACTTTTTTCGCTGTAGGTCTTCAAGGGTTAAACGAATCCAACTTTGAACTCGTAGAGTCCGTATACGAAGAAACCGTTAAGTCGGCAATCGAAAACGGTTTTGACGATCGAGACATAGAAAATATTCTGCATTCAGTGGAATTGTCAATGAGACATCAAACTTCAAACTTTGGGTTGAATCTCTTGTACGGTATAATGCCGGTTTGGAACCACGAAGGTAACGTTATGAACACAATGAGTGTAAGTGAAAAAATTGGAATTTTTAGAAAGAACATGGCTGAAAATTCGAATTATCTACAATTACTGGTGGATAAATATTTATTAAACAACAAACATAAACTCATCATAACAATGTCACCCGACGGAAGCTACGAGGAAATGAGAAAAAAAACCGAAGCAAACTTATTAAAAGAAAAATTGGCTTCACTATCAGATGCAGATAAGGATAATATTTATCAGCAAGGCCTTGAATTGCGCAAAGAACAAGACGCAGAACAAGATGCTTCATGCTTGCCAACTTTAAGTGTTGATGATTTGAAAAAAACAACAGACTCTGTATTGTTCAAAAAAGAAAAGTTTGACAAAACGCCCGTCTTCATATTCCCTCAACCGACCAACCAAGTGACTTATTTCAAAAGTCTATTGAATACATTACACGTTCCTAAAGATCTGAAACAATTCATTCCTTTGTTCTGTAACATAGCTACTAGAATGGGCACCAAGTCTAAAAACTTTAAACAATTTGATCAGTTGATAAGAAAATCCACTGGCGGTCTAGGAGTGTCTCAAACTATTGTAGATTCTCCCAGTGAAGTGTTCACTATGAAAGAAGCAGTTGTTTTAAACTCTTATTGTTTAGATAAAAATGTAAAAGATATGTTTAATCTGTGGGAACAGATTTTTTCTGAGTTAATTTTCGAGGACGAAAACAGGTTTAAAATTCTCGTACAAGAAGAAGCAAGTGGCCTAGCAAATAGTGTATCCGGCAGTGGGCACATGTATGCAATGTTGTGTGCAGCTGCCGGTATAAATCCAATCGACGCTCAACGTGAATCAAACGGAGGGCTTCAATACGTTAGTTTAATGAAAGAAACATCACAAATGAAAGATTTGTCACCGATATTGAGCAAATTGAAAGAAATCGGTACACATGTATTAAACAAAAACACAATGAAATGCTCATTGACTATTGTAGATGACAATATTGAAGCAGTGGACAGCTTGAAAAACTTTATCGGCACAATCAACGGCAAATGGAATTTACAAAATGAATACCGTAAAGTCGAACAAAACGATAACGATATTAAATGTTTCCATCATGTGTTACCGTTTTCGGTTAACCATTGTGCAAAAGCTCTTCCGGGTGTCCCATACACTCATGAAGATTATGCTACTCTTAAAGTGCTTTGCAAATATTTGAGTTCTAAATATTTATTACCCACAGTTAGAGAAAAAAATGGAGCTTACGGAGCCGGCGCTTCTATATCGACTTCTGGCACTATTCAAATGTATTCGTATAGAGATCCGAAACCAGCAAAAACATTTGAAGCCTTCGACACAGTATGTGATTGGATGAGCAAGAGGAGTGTAACAATAGAGGAGTTGAACGAGGCTAAACTAGCTGTTTTTCAAGGCATCGATCACCCAATAGCTCCTATGGCTAAAGGCAACGCTTTCTTTTTATACGACATGGATGAAGATACAAGACAAAAACACAGAATGCAAGTACTAGGTGTAACAGTTGAAGACATAATAAATTCAGCAAACTTATACTTTTCTAACGAACGTTTTGCAAAAGCTATGATTGGACCAAAATGCAAAGAACTTAATTCAGACTCTCAATGGAATATTACAAACCACGAAGATTTATAAACAATATTAAATATGTTTAAATTAAATTTTTTTTCTTATTTTGGAAGTTAATAAATTACCGTTTCAACTTCCTTTTATTTTTTGCACTTCATCTAACATAAATTCTAGATGCGCTAGTTTAAATAATAGTTACACAAGTTTCAGAAGCAATTTGTTTTAAATGTGTACTTCAATCAGTTTCAGAACATATTTAAGCAGTGGCTTTTTATCATATTATCATGAATATCATACTCAGAAAAATTCATACTTTTAGGTCATAATAACACACCATTTAAGCATCTCTATTTCCATAAAATAAAATAAAAAGAATGTAATCGTCAAGTCATTTTTGTTAGTTAGAGCTAATTAACCTTAGGGCACGGGATGAGAGAAGTGTGATGTTGCCAGTCCGTACTAAACCATACTAAATATATATTATACTTTTATATCAATAGTTTACAGCAGTGGCGGACTATATTATATTGTTTATATGGTCCTAAGTACTATTTTAATATTAAATAGTAGATTCAATTCTATATCTACAAGTTTGGCTACCTACGTATCGCATGATATATGAGTTTTGTTCATGTACTCGTTATTATATTATTAGTCAGCCAAGTGCCAACAAATTCACCGACTTGCAGATTTTATAATTCAATAATTTTTAATAAAACTCATAAAACATAATAATAAAAATGAATGTATGAATTATGTAATTCAATTGAAAAAACAACCTAATATAGTGTAAAACAAGAAAATAAAGTGTAGCCTAAATATTCTCAATATTTTCTTACAGAAAATGTATACTTAGTTATGTTTATTTCATTTATGATTTACCTACGTAACGGTTGACCCAATTAAATAAATTTTTAATAAAACTTCATATAAATTTAAAAAAAAAACTTTCATTTTAAATAGTTGTCTAATATAAATTTATATTTTTATTTGTAGGGTGCAACAAATCAAAAACTATCGATAGTAATCATGATAAAAAAAATCATGTTTAATATGCTTACATAAATTAATATACCAATTAAAAATGCATTCACCAGCATGTAGTAACTTGTATGCTGCAGTTGAATTTGTCTTAACACTATCTGTTACACAAGTTCACTGTGAAAGAGCATTCGGCAAGCTTAAAATAATAAAACAAAATCGTCTACGATCCTCTTAAAATCAAGACCATGTTGATTCATGCTGATGTCTATGGAGAAAAATATTTTGGATGGTATTGATTTTAAAGAAATACTGGAGATTGTAAAAAAAAGTCTTCTCCATTGACGAATCAAATGTTATCAGTGTAAAGACTAAAGTAAATTACATACTATTTGTTTTCATTTAAAATGTCTCTAATTAATACATTACAATTGTATTTTATACTTGAACTTCAAAAAGTTGTGTACTATTTGTTTGTTTGTATCAAGTACCTAATCATTTTTTTTTTATATATTATGATTTATCTTCATAAATAGTAATTAGTAATTTAAAAATGTTCTGTCGAGTTTCAAGACTAACGTACAGAGTACTTTTATACATACCGTTCCTTTTTTAAGTCTTTCGATCAATTCTTTTTCTATTACGTTGTCCAAACGAGCAGCAATCTCGGCTTTGTATTCACGTCTTTTAGTTCGCTTTTCCACTTTTCTCGGCATAGAGACCAATTCTCTCCTAAAATATTTTAAGTCCAATTACATTCTTGTATTTGTACGTCAATTACAGCATATAATAATATTATAGAACATCGACTCACTGTGTTTTTAGTTTTAGTTTACGCATTCTTATTATGTACTGTGTTATCCGTACAAAACGTTGCTTGCACATGGATTTTAAAGGTCCCGGCCAGTAAAGCATGTTTTCGTTTATCTGCATTATTGCTTTCTGGAAGTTCCTGGATAGTTTAATTTTTTCCCATTGTCTATTAGGGTAAACTGACCTAAAAAAACAAAGCAATAATAATTTAGTACCGTTCATCGGGGTGGACGCCAAATAATAGAACACTCACCGTTCGGCCGTTTTCAAATACAGGTATATTATACCTTTATCTTCTCTTACGGTTGCATATCGGCTGTTGGCCAACGGGCAATGAGTTTTGTTGCACAATCCAGATACGTTGTATTCGTTTTTGCAAAAACAAGAATTATCCGTTCTGGAAAAAAAATTGTTAGTTACGAATAACACATTTCACATAAAATTGAAACTGCGCCACGAGTCTGATTGCGCTTACTTTATTTTAAACGAACAAAATGTGTCTTTGATTATCGACCAAACAACCTGAAACAAATCAAAAAATCTTTTATAGCAAGTCGGGACGGCTTAACTGATGAAAACTAAACGGTTACATACGTCGTCTTGATCCATATTGGACGATTCAAAAATATTATAACGTTAAATTATTATTATTAAAATTCACGAGTAAAGACTAAAGTGTAAACAAGAAAACAAGTAACAAGACGGTTGACGAATAACGATTGCCGATCAATGAAACCACATGGCTAAAATATCAAACGTCCAGTTTTGATAACAGCGGTCCCATATTATTGTGATAACGTAAGAGTTATAACCTCTTTGGTTACCGCATGCCATGACCGCTCTTCAGTTTGCGGTTACCTCCAGCGCCGGCCAGCCGTCGACTATGTGTTATCACTTATCATTTGGGTCGACGTCGAAACTTGATATGGTATAAAAGTGAGCGTTTTTCGAATACAAATATTGGATTTTTACAAAGATTTTGGGTTTTCGTCGATTGTTCATAAGAATTATTGTCATTTTTCGGTCTCCGTTTTCGTACAATAGCCACTATGTTCACTTTTTTTGATGTTGCACGGTACCTATAATACAGGGAAAACTTAAAAAGCAACTTATGGTTATATGTATATTTATATAAATTATATATATAGTGGAGAAATTATTACTACTTAAACCCTTTAACCATAAAAATAATACACTCTTAGCATTTCGGCAACAACAATGTTGACATCTTCAACTTCTGGCCTGTCATTAGCGCTGAAGATGACAACATTGTTGCCGAAATACGTATTCACATACGGAGTGTATTATTTTTTATGGTCAAGAGTTACTTTATTAATTTCTTTACTTCCTATAATACTTCCTTCGGGCTCTAGAAAAAGAATTTTTTTTTTTAGTTATTATATCCGCTAACATTTTCTTTTAGTTTCGATGCGGTAACAAGAAGTATTGGTATTTTGGAAGTAACGTTTTTATTTTTAGCTTTGATGCATTCATATCTTTAATCTGAAATCAATGTGGCTTGTTCCAAGCTAAAATGTCATTCATGATTTGTTATTACCACAAAATAATTAATATTACGATATTCTGCTAGCTTAGCTGATTTGAACTTAAATTGACACTAAACGTTTACATCGTTCCAAAAGACATTAATATTGTAGCTTTGGAATGTGCTGAAATGTTTTCAATTGATTTTGTTTCTTCAATATCAGTAAACTGTCAAGTATAACATAATTATTGTACAATAAATTTGAAAATTTTGCAATTACAACATAAGTCGAGTGTATCGGTTTACTGAAATAAATAGTCAATGGTAGATTATTTAAAATTATGAAATATGAATATTTGATCCTAAAAATATTGATAAAATGACCAATTCATGTTGCGTGTTAAACTTATTTGTTTCCATTTGGTTTTCAGAAGTATTCAATAATATAAAACTGATTTAATTTGTTTTATTTTAAACATAAACCAAGTCGTTTAGGCAGTTTCTATAATAAAAACAACAAACTATCGATTTTACATTTATTTTAGTCGTAAATATTTAGGTTTTGAAAATTTGGTTAACAAATTCGCTTCTTAAGACTTTCAGACAAGATTATTATTTTTTATTATCGGACTTGGTTAATATCAAATGTTAATCACTATTGTTTGGCTTTTAATTAAATAAAGAAAACTTCAATCATAGAATATTATATCACAATCGACCGTGTAGATTGTTTTTCCATAATTAAATAAAAATACAATAGTTGTCGCAGTATTACACATTATGAGAAATAAAACTAATCAAAAGCAAAACTATATCAGCAATCATCTTATTCGATATCAAATAATTTATTGTAAAAAAAAAACACTTATTGTTAATTGTATTCGAGTCGTCGATGGTCAATAATAATGTTTCCGTTTTTTTTCATATCATCGAAAAAAATACCATCAATTGTGTAATAGATAATAATTACTTAAAATTACCCCATACTAAATTTTATTATGTATAAAAGTTGTCTTATATAATGAATGAGTTAAAATAAAAAAAATTATGAAGAATGACGAAAAAATAGTTATGAAAAAAAAATATAGAACACATTTTGCGTCACACAATTAAACTTAAACGATAATCGTAATAATAATATAATTTTTTTTTTTTTTAAATATTATTTCGCCTAAACGACGGCGACCTCTTTCGTCGTTGTTGTCGTATGTCGGGGAAGTGTTTCATAAAATTAGTTGTTCATGTCCCTCGACGACGGAGGTTGCGATTGGTGTTGATACCTGGCCATGTCGGCCGAGGAAATAGCAGGACCAGGAGATTTGTTTGAATATCCAGAGTTCGTAGAAGTGGAGTACGATCCCTAATTATAAAAAAAAAAAAAAATTCTTATTGTCTTAAGAAAATCCATAGGTATAATAATATAATAGTTCTAATTATCGTCTTTGGGAAAATATCTTACGTGTTGTGACGACTGCAACATGACTGGTGAAAGTTGAGAAGCCGATGAAGCCGACGGCTGACGCATATACACGTTATGCGATTTCTGCGATTGCTTTTGGCGTGAAACAAACAATTTTATTCGATTAAATATACGTCATATTATATAGGGTAATTTTTTAGTCGACACGTCCGACCGCCAAGTCCCTAATCATATAGACTCGACGGTTGGACCAGTTGAAAAAAAAATAACGACACTTATAACGTAACGCTACCATTTGATGTGGAGATTGTGGTGAGATGCCGGCGCTGGACGGGTGCATATTTCTTCCGGGTTGTTGCTGATAATAGCCCGACGTCGGCGGTATCATTTTTATATCTGCAAGGTTATGCGGTGGCGGCTTCGGATGGTCTAGTAAAGTAAGCGAAAGAACGTTAATTTTGCCAAACCAATAATTGTTATGGATAATAAACATAATGAATTTGACCCGAGCACGTACAAGCATGGTTGCTGGTTTGATTACGTATCCCCGGACTCATGTACATGGGCGGATTCGAGTGGGCCAAATGATGAGGCTGATGATGATGTTGTTGTTGTTGTTGTTGGTGCGAGGAGATGGATTTCGATAATTGGCCTCCGTGTTCACCGGCCGACGCGCTCACCATTAAATTTCCCATACCAGACGAGTCCGTCCTCGACAACGGCGGAGGCGGCCCGGAATAACTGTACACCGTGTTGACAGACGACGACGACGATGATGGCGACGAAGGAATGCCGTTGTTGACACAATAGTTGACCGCCGCGCCGGGAGAAGGTTGATAAAACGATCCGTACATGCTGACGTTGGGTTGATTGTTTTCTATAATGAGAATTTTAATATTAAAACAGGTTTACAAGTTGTTACTTTATGTAATGTTAATAAACTTTAAAATCCGGCATTGAAAATGTAGCCAAATTTACATCGGGAACAAAACAATAGTATTATTTGTTCCCGTGTAATTTTGGTAACGTTTTGAACGCCGTTTAAAATATTACAAATAGAATAAATTAGTGTTGATTTTTCACCACTATTTTTACTTTACTATATAATATATTCAACATTAATAATTATTTTCTCTTACTGTTTGGGTTGTTGTTGCTGTTATTCCACATCAAAACATTCCTATTGAACGATGACGGGGTTTCATCTCTACTCCCACGCCTATTTAAGTTTTCCACTGAAAATAATCAACAATGTTTTGTAACAACATATTTCAAATAAAAAACTATATGAAAGTACACTTTGGAAAAAGCCAATGACAACATTTCTAATGGTAAAATAGATGCAGAAAATGTAGTAAATTATTACGTCTTTTGGGTCACGTAAATACACGATAAACTCTTAAGATTAAGTCAATAATTATCAAGTATTTTTGCTATGTATTGTGGTATTTTTTTTTTTTTAAGTTTTATAAATCTTAAGTAAAACCACTCACTCGAATAACTATTATTACTTGCAGCGGCTATGGACGGATTGATATTGTTGACTACGTTCGGCGTAGACATAGAGTTCATAATACTATTGCCGCCGCTGCTATTGTTCATTTGTTTGTAAGTAGGAAACGGAACAACGATTTGTTGTTGCTGTTGTTGATGTTGTTGTTGTTGTTGTTGTTGATAGGTTTGTTGTTGAATGGCCGGGGGTTGTGGCGATGGCGTCCTTCCTAGTTTATTATTCGACCCTACGTTCTGTGTAAACGAGTACAAAATATATATATAAAAAAAAAACGATTGTTGTCGAAAATAAATTAACAACTTACCGGCGCTAGTAAATGAGTGGTACTGCTGTAGAGCGATGAAACTTTTGTAAACGACATAGTCATCGTGCTGGACAGCGAAGCTGATAAACCCATTGGCGAGCGCGTCGCACTGTTATTTTGGTTGTTTGCGGCAACAGCGTTAATCGCTGCCGGCGAACAAACCAACAATGTCTGATTATTGGCGCCGCCGGCGTTTGAATTGTGCAACATCAAAGGCTGTTGCACCGAGTTCAAGCTGTTACTTCCGCTGGGCGACCCAACGCCCGACTCTGCAGTAATCGTCGTTTGTTGCCTAATAATATGCTGGTGCTGTTGAAGAAGTGTCGTCGATCGATGATGCGACACGACCGTGCTAATATTATTCGTTAACACTAGTTTGTTGTTTAAGGGTTCACTGTAAAGGTAAAAAAAATAGAAATTACTACATCGGTCGTACAAATTAAAACTACGTAATAATTTCTTAATACCAATTGAACTCGGACTTGGGCACGACTAAAGAAGCGGCCATAGCGTCATCGGCCGTTTGGACTTGGTTCAAAAGTGCACGTTTTTCCTCCTCGAGTTCGTCGCGTCTATCTTTCAACGCGGTCAAACGACCATTAATTTGCGCCAAAGACAGTTTATTTTCTTCCATTTGTTGAAACTCGACACATTTCTTTTTTCTCAACACTTCAGCTTCGGCTTCCGCTGTTAAATAATATCAACAATTTTTTATTCGACATTTCACCAAAAATAACAAATAGTCGATTTCTAATACACTAAAAATTACGTTAACTCTATAAACAAATTTTAACATGAAACTAAAAACTACTTTTTATCATTTGAGGTAATGAAAATTTAATTTGATCAATTTGAGATAATTTGGTAAAATCAGAGTGTTATCAACAGTAGCAGAGCTAGGATTTATTTTAGGGGGGGGGGGAGTGGGCGCTAATAATACTAAACGAACCGACAACACATACAATTTATGAACATATCCTATTAATCACAACTAGTAAAGTTTAACCATAGAACAAGGTAAAAAAATAAAATAGAATCTCAAGTTGAAACATAAAAGTCTTGTCAACAACAAATGTTAAAATAACTTTAAGAAATAACGCAATATTTAAGTTGACACGCAGAAAATGTTATAAATATAATTTTAATACTCCTTTCTAAGCAAAATTTTTTTTTTTTGAAAATACAATTCTCGTACAAACTTGTTCTATTTAACGTTAATTAAAAAATGTGTTCCCATAAATTACAAAGTACCAAATATTTAAAAAACTCTTATCGTATAAAAGCGACCAACAGAATATATTTTAATATAACATTAATATTTGAAGAACAAATAAATTAAAGAGGATGAAATACAACTAAATGTTACACAATATATTATCCCAGTGATGCGTAATAGTGAAAAAGAGTAAATTAACATGTTTACAGTGACCGAGTGAAAATTTAATTATTTTTCAATTTGTCATACTGTAGTCGATGTTTTATTGTAGTTTACCAATCACCTGGTATATCAATAACAATATTGTAACAATACGTGACAAACCTTTTTTATTTTTCTCTCTGCGTGATAATATATGAGTCCTCAACGATTTCCAAACATGTTTGTCTTGAATCCTACCAAGCTTGGCCGAAACATTTCCGTTGTTTTCTTCGTCGATCAACATTTTTGAGTTGTTACTGTTCGTCATACTGTATAAAATAACGAGCGATGTAAATTTAATTTGCTCGTTTCTTAAATAGTATTTTAATTTAAAACACGGGCAAATGTCGGTTAACGTGTTTACACAATCGCGCAATTAAAACCAAATTTCACCGATCGTAACCAAAGTGAGTTTTTGTCGACGTATTTATAAAATCAAATTTGAATTCCCGAGTCGTAGACGAGTCGATTGTCGCAAACTAGGCGAAACGAATTACATTTGAAAATTAGTAAACAAAACTACACACATACATACGTATAGGCTCTAGTCTGAATCGTCTCAAGTCGAATGATGATCGGTTCGAAGTTTACGTGCAAACGTAGGTGGTTCAGGTTTAGTCTCAATACTCACACGGTTAACAACAAAGTACGAGTGTAGTTTATTCAATGCCAAAAAAAACATATCGTAGTAAACATTTTTTCGCAAATTACACACCTACTCGTTTGTTGTGAACGTCGAAATTGCTAAACGATTACATTGTTGTCCAATAAGAAATGTGCCAGAGTGAAACGGACTGGTAACTGGTGTGTATCTCAGTGCGATCGATCGACGTGCACCGCAGTTCTTTTACATAGACAAACAACCTAATAACTGTGAAATTCGATGTGGCCAAAACGAAGACTTTTAACATCCAACAGACTTTGGAGCGATCGGGAAGAGTAAAAAAAACAATATAACTGTTGTGTGTGTGTGTGTGTGGTGTGTGACGCGACGAGACGTTGACCAAGTTGTTATTATCATTATAATATTGTTATTATGTTATTATGCATTAACCACAACCGCGGTAACCGCGGTCGTAGATAAAACCACGGAGGTCCTATAAAATATTGACAGCGCCGGTCACACACCTAAGGAGCTGCAGAGACCTTATGGAAAAAGTTTGCGATTCCTACGAAATGTTATATCATAGATTAAAATTTAAATACACAATATTATACGGAATAGATTGTATATTTAATCTATGCTTATATTGTCGGCGATGGCCCCAAATGTTTTGTTTATTTTTTAACTATAATACTTTTGTACAAATAAAATAACATTGTACCGATTTTAAACAACTCTGTGTTCCAAACAAAAATTATTATATTTATTTTTATTCGCATATGTCTTAGATTTAACGCAAAAAGATGAAATTACAGACATAATATTTACAAGCAATATTTTATGCAACATGATAAAAGCCCAATATTGATAACGTTTGTTTACCGATAGTGTCTACATTGCATAATATTATTATGGCGCGGTTGACTTCAACTATAGTTTCAAAGTGATTATGGCAAAGCCGGCTATATTGTATTAGTATATGGAAATAAATTGGGTGGAAAAATCTGAAAACAAGGTTCAAATTTATAATAAATTCATTGACATACCTTCATTATCAAAGAAGGGTCGCCGCCCCACATGGGATACAACCATTCCAAACAAAAACCACATTAATCCAACAAACAATATTGTCCTAATAACCGTTTTTTCATTAGTAACCAGTTTACCTATAGTTTACCATTGCAGTTTACCATAACACCTAATTTTCTATAGGCAAAGTAGACATTGAGATGTATGCAATTTGGGAAAAGTGGCAGCAACCCGACCGCCATTATTTTTTATCATAATAACATCACTGTTATCAAACTTTATCTCATTATCTCTACTAACAGTTCATTTTTTCTTTATAGGTGTAATAATACTACGATTTAAAGTTAAATTAATATTAATTGTAATTCAATAACTGTAAAATATATTGTTATAACAATCGTGTCAGCTCGTCACACACACAACACTTGTAAAAATGTCATATTATTGTTCGTCCAGAGGAAAAGCAGAAGAAAAAGAAAAAGCAACCAGAATGCAAGTTTTAATGGAAGAAATGAATCAATTAATAGATGTCAATCGTCAAGAAGTATATTTCAATATATATCTTAGCCGAATGCCTCGAGACACGTAATCACTAATATTACGTTAAATTAATATTTGCTTGTATATTTTTAGACTGCTGAATTCAGAGACGCGACGCGTGAAAAACAAACTATAATTACTGCACTCCGAGGTCAAAACTTGCTGCAAAGTTAATGGCCTCGGAGCAGGTGTCAAGTCGGAGGCGGTATCCACTAGTGGGATGTCCTACATAATTCGAGGAACCCGAGCTGAATCGGTGGTCCATTTTCTATGGTGATATTTGACGGCATTTAACCGCAGGCTCTCCACAGAAATGACGACTGTCTTATACGAAGTAAATAGTCTTAAAGTATAATTGTAACGATAATTGTTTAGGTTGACAACGTTTGTCGGTTGTCAACTGTGTCTTAAGAATATTCTATACAAATTTGGAACTAATTGGTATATTTTGTCGTCGGTACAGACACAAACATATAAAAATAACAACACTCGTAAATACAATACCTTTTCAGCTATCGCATGGAAGCTAAAATATCATCTGGAAAAAATTCCATTAGATTCCGCCGATTGTCCAAATGAGACAATCAAATATACATTTATTTTATTATATATAATTACATTAGTAGGATACAAACAATAGTAGTACCTAACCTTGCTTGAGCCTTTAAAGTTTTTTTAAAAGATGATTTTAAACAGACAAATGTAGCTTGTCGTGTAGTCGTATTACCCTAACGGGTTCATAGAAAACAAAATTCTATTCGATATCCATTTAATAAATGGTTATTTATTTTCTACTTTTAAATTATTTCAGCTAAACCGGAAAGAGCGGGTCAACGCAATATGATTGCAAGTAATCAAAAGAGAGAAGATGAACTGGAAAAAAACAAAAATTTGCAGAACGTGGCGATTAATGTGAAATTTGTTTCAGAGTTAGCCAGACACTAGTACTAAATGCTTTTTTACTGTCCACATTATACTCACATGCTCTTGCCAATTGAATTTACATTATTTACATACATAAGTTTCGCTACGTCATCTTTACTCGTATACAATTGTTTTGCTCTCGTAGTTATTTACATTTATAAGTATATATATATACTATACTTATACAATACTTGGCTGTTAGAAATAATTTTTTTGAATTACAACTATTTGTTACATCCAAATTATCAGCTTGAAAGAAATTAACTTACTGTCGTTTTCACGTCTTTGTGTAGATTTTTAAAAGCGACTCGAGTCTATTATCGGGTTCTGTGGTGTCGATAACCGTGTTTAGCAAGTAAAATGTTTCCATATCTTCCTGGTTATTTATTTACAGTGAGTGTTAAAATACAAATTGAGTACCTACATATTATATAAACCTCTTGTTTCTGGATGGACGACAAGCATTTGGCCCAGTAACGAGGTTCAAAGAAAACGCTGTGACAACCGTTTGAAGAAAGATCACTTTCTTATGTTTGCGAAGGAGTGAAACAAATTTTTGCTCATTAAACAAATTCTATTCTTACCTCGCCGATAAGAATACTGTACTTCAACTACGGTGATCCGAATAACGGCAGCTCTTTCGTTTTAGAAACCTTATCTGTTTGAAAGTATAATATAAATTTATATATATATATATATTTAAGTGTATCAAAACAAATTTGGTTTTAATTGATTTTTTGTTTACAAGTTCAAAACCAACGAATTTGTAACTATCATGTGTTATTCATTTGGATCTAAATATTTTTTTTTCTTCATATATACATTACAAAGTATGTAGATTTTGAATTTTTTTTGTCACTTGCTGTATAAAAAAAAAACAATCATTTCAAAATTGTCACTTCTAAGACAAATTATTGTAGTGGACTAGTTGTGTTGTATTGTTTAATATATTATGAAATTATAAACCCATATTTCATTCATAAATCAAGTATTTTAAACATAATAAAAAACGGTTTATTGTCATAGCTGTAATGTGAATTAAGAGATTCAACATAACACAAAACAATAGATAGCACACACAAAACTATTATTTCACATTTGAATGTTAAAACAGGTATACATTTTTTTCTTCAATTGTTTCATTTAGTCCATGCGTTCCTCTGATCCTCTGCCTAGTGCATTAATGCACACAATATTAACAGTACAATATCATATTATGAATTTTTCATTGGACAGGTATCTCAAGATGTCCACATGACCAAATACCTTTGATTTAAATATTTATTAAATTCTAATAGGTAATTGAATAGTAAGTGAACATAACATTTTAAACGCTATAAAAAATGTAAAAAAGGCCTAATTCAACAAAAATACCGACTGGTTATAAATATATTTTGAATATTTATATGTTTTGTAGTAAATCTTTAAGAACAGATCTCAGTATATATATATATATGTGTATATTATACATTATTAACCCTCTTCAGAGTCGATTAGAATTTGTGTTTGTGTATTGTACAAGGGCTGTTGAAAAAAACTATCAATACCTGTTAAATATTATCCACTTTATTTTAAAGCTCTGGTTGGCCATATTATGGTAAGTATACTATTATTATTATGTTCAGAAAAATATTATTATGGACACTTATTACTACATTTATAATTTTTAAAAAATAAGTAGCTATATAACCATATAAAAACGTTCTATGCAATTATATACTATTATAAATAATAAAAACTATTTGGAAATTGTTCCTTTTCTTTAAACACCTTAAAAAATATTTACATAATATGAATACATTTTAATAATTAAAAAATTTAAAGACACCGCAGCGTCGACAGTTTTCCATCGATTGCCAATAGACAATATTATTATATATAATAAAAAATTTGAAATTTGTTTTTAAATATTTAAAAAAAACAACATATTGTCACGTATATACCTATTATATTAACACAGTATAATGTAACTGAACCTTTGTATAACGATAATAACTAAACTAAACAAAAAAAAAAGACAAATTATAATAAGTAATTGTATTTTTCTTTTAATAAACTTGTGAAAAAAATTCAGTACTATAAACATATTGTTACCAAAGGTAAACTTTTATCTTTAAATATATATATATATATATATTACCTATATAAATATCGTCAAGACACAATTTTTAGATTATCAAAAATTTGAACGTTTTAGTTTAGATAAGAAAACTTGATACTATACGAAGAAAAAACTTTGCGGTAATCACAATATAATTTGACCGATGGCCTTGATTAAGTCGTAGGCCAAACCCACCGATCCGGTGCCGAGGACGAGGAATACCAGTGCGTCCCTCCACGGCGGATACTGGTCGTGGGACAGGAAGTCGTCGGCCAGTCGACTCGCGGCGTATCCGACGAGCAGCACGGGAATGGGCGCGGGCACGGCGATCAAGCAGGTGGACGCGCACAGGAGCGCGGGCGCCATTGCGGACGCCAGCCGGGTAACCGTGGCCGGAGCGCCGTCGTTGGCCAGACGGTTGTGCGCGTGAAAGGCGTTGGCCGCGACCACGAACATGCCGACGTACGGCGCGCCGGCAAACATCATCGGCACCGAGGTGACTATCGTGAAGAAGAACAGTTGCGTGGGCACGGTGTCCAGCCGTTGGAAATCCGTGGACAGCAGCCGACTCTGGAGCCTGGGGAAAACGGCCGCCATCGAGTTCAAGTGCTCGCGGAATTTATCTTCGCCAGTTTGACTCGACGACGGGCCACCGCCGTCGCCGCGACTGCTTCTGGCGTTTTCAACGGTGATGCTTTGCGGCGACTGGTTCTTCGAGGGTGGCGGCTGCGGCGTCTGCGGCTGCGTCTGCGTCGTGCAGAATTTGGCGACCAAGTATTTGGACGCCAAACGGTTGCCAGTCAACGACGTTTGGCCGGCGCCGCGAAAACTCGACCATCTCCCGCGGCCGATAACGCCGTTCAACATTGTTCCCATACAGCAAACGCGTTGAGCCATTTTGAAAACGATTACAGCAATGTCAACGGCTGGGGAAAAAAAAACATAAATTTAAAAAAATTAAACGGCAATAACTATTGTGTTCTGAAAGTGATAAAATCACTTTCAAATAATCGCTTCGAGGCGAATATGCTTAAGGCGACGTCGACCCGCTAGTTATTAATTTTTTTTTCGTTCTTAAACTTTTATAAATTATCTTGAAAACAAGGTGACACGATTAAATTGTATTAAAACCTATAAGAAAAAAAAATTCCTTTAACATGTACTAGCTTCCGGTATTACTTAAGGGGATTGAACGTAGGCGGTTAGGTAAGTAGTTTTATTTAGACACAATTTATTTTTTTTTATCTCAGAGCATGTCAATGTGTTGACATAAAAAAACAAAAAACAAAATCCAGCATTATCAATATATTATAAAAAAAAAATAATAATTTGGTTTTGTTAAAAATAAACTATTAATTCTACACTTAATAAATTGTAAAATATAATACCACACGTTAGATAATTTTAACTAATCTGTGATAATACTTTGAAAGTTCACCGAGATTGACTTGTTATTCGGTCCAATTTATATACGGCAACAAAACATAATAATTATTTAAATTGTATATTCAAACTATATTACCTACCGTTTCAAAGGACGCATTTTAATTTAGCCAACTATAAAAAAAAAAAAACTACAACGAAATTGATATCGAGACAATAATGTAATCGACGCCATTACTGGACGTGTAATTTTGTGTGCGTTATGCGTTATTAAAACAATAATAATATGTTAGATATTACGGCAAATGCAAAATTATTTAATTCTACTCTTAGGTAAAAGATCTATCGCTGCGTGAAATATTATGCTATACTTACAAAGTACCGTGGAAAGTAGAAATATCTTGAAAAAATTGAGATTTTTTTGGTTATTATAATTTCTGAGTTGGTTCACCGTGGACCGTGTTCGTCGGAAATGAACGACAGAAAAATGTTCTTGTACTACAAAGAAATATCTGCCATCTTAAGTCGGTAATCGACATAGATATGGTTTCGGTACAACCGGCCGCGGACGACATCGATGCCATCGATACAGTGCAGCCAACCTAAACAAAAATTACCAAATAATATGATACGAACGATGAAATTACCAAATAACATGATACGAATGCGAGGAACACATTGTATTGTACAGTTCTACTCGTACTTCAAACACTACAATATTTGTCATTTTTGGAGAATTGTATTATGTTGGTAACACCGTCTTGTCAGAATTATTGTAAATCGAACCCTTATCATTTTTCGGCCAACTGCCGACCCCCCGCACCAAACATTTTTTGTAAAAACGTTGATAATTACTTTTAATAGTTAAATATACCTACGGTAAAAAAATGGTAAATAACCAACATCCAACGACGTTAACGAAACACCAGTTTTTTGTTAAATAATTTACCTGGATAATATTTTAAATATTCGTAAAAAAAAAACCGCGAAATTCAAAAATTCGCCGTCCGAGTGCCACAATCTTATAATATGATATCATACTACTACTGTACTACTAAGTTGAGGTAAGCAAAATAGTGCTTGTACAGCAAATTCAAATTGTATTTTATTTTTTAGCTTCGTTTTGAAATCAAATAATTTAAGATGTGTATTATGTAATTTAACCGCACGTTGTGTTATAGAGGTAAGTCTTTAAACAGTCATATATTTGTATTGGTGTTGTAAAACTATAGTTTTAGTAATATTAAAACAGTATTTTCTCTTCTCGTCGATTTCACTTTAATAATCACCAGGAGTACTCGGAGTGGTCAAATTGGGCTCATATTAGGCCATTGCAAAATAACAATATATTAATTATTGTAGCTTTTTGATGTTTCCTAACATACATATATTTAAGCAGCTAATATAATATACTATGTTAAACAATTATCCATACCCGTGTGTCCTCCCTTTTGTTTTCAAAGTATGTTGGGTTCTCTTTAAGAAATGTATGTACTGTTATTATAAAATTCAATTTTATTACTAATAGTCATCGCAGTGGTGTTTATAATTCGATATTAATTAAAAACACAGTTTTAGAAATCATATCATTAGAAAATAGATTTAATTTAACGCTCGAATATATTTAATACCTCTTTTAAAAAACTATATAAAAACAAAATTAAATGAAAAATACAAATAAAGTTATTTCAGTTGATAAGTTCTATTGAACAAAAACGCAATAACTAACAAGTAATAAATGTCTATTACGACTATTTATCTTACTTATATTTATAGCACTTGTATATTATTAGACTCGGTGATTGATTAAGAATAAGACACTCATTTTCTTAGAAAATGGGTAAAATGTTGTAGGTTTTCTTTTTGAAAATATTTTTTTTTATACATAAGAACCACCAACTATTTATTTCAGGAACTTTATCTAACTCATACTTTATGTATCACGCTGTATAAAATATATGAATAATTACAAAGTAAAAATTTTAAAAAATGTTTACCAAATGGTGGAATAATCTCATGTAAAGTATAAACATACCTACCACTTTCATATTGTTATTTGAACAATAAACCAATACTCTACTTGGTGTAGGCTATATTTGAAGAACAAGCATTGTTTCAATATTATAAATAATTTTAATTTAGTGACATCGAAAACTTACAAACTTAACAATGCATGTATCTTTTAATTCAAAATTAAGTAAATATTATAAGCAGTATTTCTATGGAGTTACTATATTTATGTTAAAAGCTCATTTTTAGTATATTTCAAAACAAATAAATATTAAATTGTGTGTAATAAAGAAATTATAGTTTCTAAAACAGA